ATCAAAAAAGAGAACTACAGACCAATATCCTTGATGAACACAGATGCAAAAATTCTCACCAAAATACTAGCCAATAGGATTCAACAGTACATTAAAAGGATTATTCACCACGACCAAGTGGGATTTATTCCAGGGCTGCAAGGTTGGTTCAACATCCACAAATCAATCAATGTGATACGACACATTAATAAAAGAAAGAACAAGAACCATATGATACTCTCAATAGATGCTGAAAAAGCATTTGACAAAGTACAGCATCCCTTCCTGATCAAAACTCTTCAAAGTGTAGGGATAGAGGGCACATACCTCAATATTATCAAAGCCATCTATGAAAAACCCACTGCAAATATCATTCTCAATGGAGAAAAACTGAAAGCTTTTCCGCTAAGGTCAGGAACACAGCAGGGATGTCCATTATCACCACTGCTATTCAGCATAGTACTAGAAGTCCTCGCCTCAGCAATCAGACAACAAAAGGAAGTTAAAGGCATCCAAATCGGCAAAGAAGAAGTCAAACTATCACTCTTCGCAGATGATATGATACTATATGTGGAAAACCCAAAAGACTCCACTCCAAAACTGCTAGAACTCGTACAGGAATTCAGTAAAGTGTCAGGATATAAAATCAATGCACAGAAATCAGCTGCATTTCTCTACACCACCAACAAGACAGAAGAAAGAGAAATTAAGGTGTCAATCCCATTTACAATTGCACCCAAAACTGTAAGATACCTAGGAATAAACCTAACCAAAGAGGCTAAGAATCTATACTCAGAAAACTATAAGGTACTCATCAAAGAAACTGAGGAAGACACAAAGAAATGGAAAAATGTTCCATGCTCCTGGATTGGAAGAACAAATATTGTGAAAATGTCTATGCTACCTAAAGCAATCTACACATTTAATGCAATCCCTATCAAAATTCCACCCATTTTTTTCAAAGAAATGGAACAAATAACCCTAAAATTTGGATGGAACCAGAAAAGACCTTGAACAGCCAAAGGAATATTGAAAAAGAAAGCCAAAGTTCGTGGCATCACAATTCCGGACTTCAAGCTCTATTACAAAGCTGTCATCATCAAGACAGCATGGTACTGGCACAAAAACAGACACATAGAGATCAGTGGAACAGAACAGAGAGCCCAGAAATAGACCCTCAACTCTATGGTCAACTCATCTTCAACAAAGCAGGAAAGAATGTCCAATGGAAAAAAGACAGCCTCTTCAATAAATGGTGTTGGGAAAATTGGACAGCCACATGCAGAAAAATGAAATTGGACCATTTCCTTACACCACACACCAAAATAGACTCAAAATGGATGAAGGACCTCAATGTGAGAAAGGAATCCATCCAAATCCTTGAGGAGAACACAGGCAGCAACCTCTTCGACCTCAGCCGCAGCAACGTCTTCCTAGGAACATCGCCAAAGGCAAGGGAAGCAAGGGCAAAAATGAACTATTGGGATTTCATCAAGATCAAAAGCTTTTGCACAGCAAAGGAAACAGTTAACAAAACCAAAAGACAACTGACAGAATGGGAGAAGATATTTGCAAACGACTTATCAGATAAAGGGCTAGTGTCCAAAATCTATAAAGAACTTAGAAATCTCAACACCCAAAGAACAAATAATCCAATCAAGAAATGGGCAGAAGACATGAAAGACATTTCTGCAAAGAAGACATCCAGATGGCCAACAGACACAAGAAAAAGTGCTGCACATCACTCGGCATCAGGGAAATACAAATCAAAACCACAATGAGATATCACCTCACACCAGTCAGAATGGCTAAAATTAACTAGTCAGGAAATGACAGATGCTGGCGAGGATGCGGAAAAGGGGAACCCTCCTACACTGTTGGTGGGAATGCAAGCTGGTGCAACCACTCTGGAAAACAGCATGGAGGTTCCTCAAAAAGTTGAAAATAGAACTACCCTATGACCCAGCAATTGCACTACTGGGTATTTACCCTAAAGATACAAACGTGGTGATCCGAAGGGGCATGTGCCCCCGAATGTTTATACCAGCAATGTCTACAATAGCCAAACTATGGAAAGAACCTAGATGTCCATCAACAGATGAATGGATAAAGAATATATGGTATATATACACAATGTAATACTATGCAACCATCAAAAGAAATGAAATCTTGCCATTTGCGACAACGTGGATGGAACTAGAGGGTATCATGCTTAGTGAAATAAGTCAATCAGAGAAAGACAACTATCATATGATCTCCCTGATATGAGGAAGTGGAGATGCAACATGAGGGGTTAAGGGGGTAGGAGAAGAATAAATGAAACAAGATGGGATTGGGAGGGAGGTAAACCATAAGTGACTCTTAATCTCACAAAACAAACTGAGGGTTGCCGGGGGGAGCGGGGGTTGGGAGAAGGGAGGTGGGGTTATGGACATTGGGGAGGTATGTGCTATGGTGAGTGCTGTGAAGTGTGTAAACCTGGCGATTCACAGACCTGTACCCCTGGGGATAAAAATACATTATATGTTTATAAAAAATAAAAAAAAGAAAAAAAGAAAAAAGAAAAAAATTTAAAAAATAAAAAATAATAAAAAATTAAAACAGAAACTTAGACCAGTGGAACAGAGTAGAGAGCCCAGATATGGAACCTCAACTCTATGGTCAAATAATCTTTGACAAAACAGGAAAAAAGACAGTTTCTTCAATAAATGGTGCTGGGAAAACTGGACAGTTATACGTAGAAGAATGAAACTCGACCACTCTCTTACACTGTACAAAAAGATAAACTCAAAATGGATAAAAGACCTCAACGTGAGACAGGAATCCATCAGAATCCTAGAGGAGAACATAGGCAGTAACCTCTTCGATAACAGCCATAGCAACTTCTTTCAAGATATGTCTCCAAAGGCAAAGGAAACAAAAGCAAAAATGAACTTTTGGGACTTCATCAAGATCAAAAGCTTCTGCACAGCAAAGGAAACAGTCAACAAAACAAAGAGGCAACCCATGGAATGGGAGAAGATATTTGCAAATGACAGTACAGACAAAAGGTTGATATCCAGGATCTATAAAGAACTCCTCAAACTCAACACACACAAAACAGACAATCATATCAAAAAATGGGCAGAAGATATGAACAGACACTTCTCCAATGAAGACATACAAATGGCTATCAGACACATGAAAAAATGTTCATCATCACTAGCCATCAGGGAGATTCAAATTAAAACCACATTGAGATACCACCTTACACCAGTTAGAATGGCCAAAATTAGCAAGACAGGAAACAACACGTGTTGGAGAGGATGTGGAGAAAGGAGAACCCTCTTACACTATTGGTGGGAATGCAAATTGGTGCAGCCACTTTGGAGAACAGTGTGGAGATTCCTCAAGAAATTAAAAATAGAGCTTCCCTATGACCCTGCAATTGCACTACTGGGTATTTACCCCAAAGATACAGATGTAGTGAAAAGAAGGGCCGTCTGTACCCCAATGTTTATAGCAGCAATGGCCACGGTCACCAAACTGTGGAAAGAATCAAGATGCCCTTCAATAGACGAATGGATAAGGAAGATGTGGTCCATATACACTATGGAGTATTATGCCTCCATCGGAAAGTCTGAATACCCAAGTTTTGTAGCAACATGGACAGGACTGGAAGAGATTATGCTGAGTGAAATAAGTCAAGCAGAGAGAGTCAATTATCATATGGGTTCACTTATTTGTGGAGTATCAACAAATATTGATCACATAAATGAATGAATGAATCTTGTGATTGCTTCCCAATCCAAACTAGATGCCAGTTATTATTCCTTCAAGTTGCATACCACCACATTTCTACTTTTCTTATGGTAAGTCATATTCCCTGTTGTATTAAGAATCAATTTGTATCTTATCTTAGTATGAAAGTATCAAGAATCATGTCTTATTTCTGTTTGTATCCCCTATACTTACTAGCATCATTTCTTTCTTATAAAAGAAACCCAGTATTTCTTAACTGAATTTGAAATCATACTGAAAGTCCTGGATCTCTTTTTATCCTTTAGCAAACAGACCAACCAATACCAATTCTTAAATTCTTAAAGTATATTCTGCATTTATAACCAACCAGCAAATTTAATTCAAGAAGAGAGATGTAGCCTGGCTTAGAGATGCCTGACATCCATTTTGTACTGATGTGGTAACTACAGAAAACATTTTGAATGATGTTAAGTCGAAAGATTTTTTAGAAGACAGTAAAAACTACTTGTGAGAAAGCTGCTTCAAACTTGATCCATTCAGGAATTCTACCAAAAAAGAATGAACACCACACAGCACATTTCTTATAAACAAATAACCAAAAAGCAAACTAATACAAAAAGATTTTTTTCTAAGAAAACAAATTCCAGCATCCCTATCAAAATTAATAATTAATTGAGCCAAACACAGTTCATTAACTGGTATTTTTTTTTGGAAAGATTTTATTTATTTGACAGGCAGAGATCACAAGTAGGCAAAGAGGCAGGCAGAGAGAGAGAGAGCATGGAGGAAGCAGGCTCCTTGCTGAGCAGAGAGCCGATACGATACAGGGGCTCAATCCCAGGACCCTGGGATCATGACCTGAGACAAAGCAGAGGCTTTAACCCACTCAGCCACACAGGTGCCCCATTAACTGGTATTTTTAACAACCTTTTTAACAAAACTGAAATCACCAAGACTAAATTATGATCAATATGTTGAAAAATACATACTTTGAGTTTTAGACTTTTGCCAAATCAGTTAAAATTAAAAGGTATGATTCTAAAAAGGTTAAACTTTCACCATCAAGAAAAGTAAACTGAACAGGAATTTATTTCCCAAGACTTATGGACAAGCAGGACTTTTATTTTTTAGTCAAATTCTATGAAAACCGATAATCCATCATTATAGTGATCAAAATTTCTGATAGGCTAGACTAGAACTTTCTAAGCACAAAAAGTAACTACATTAAAAATAAATGACACAGTAAAAACAATGTCTTGCCTTATACAGTGTTAGCTCACCTGAGGTATGAGTCTATCCAAGTGCTCAGCTCGATTTCCATGAGAAGGGTGTGTGGATAACCATTCTGGCAACCTGGGATGGCCCTGGAGACGATCTGCAAATTCCATCTGCTGCCAAAACACCGAACTGGCTCTGACATCCACACAAGCCTAAAACCAGAATTAATTTTTAAAAATGAGCCTAGTTATGAGAACACTTTTAACAATTTATATCATTATGTTTTAAAGATATTTTCTATCATTATTCGCAAATGATGTATCTGATAAAGGGCTAGTGCCCAAAATAGAAAAAGAACTCATAAAACTCAATATTCAAAAAATAAATAATCCAATTAAAAATGGGTAGAAGACATGAACAGAGATTTATTTCATCAAAGAACACACACAAATGGCCAACAGACACACGAAAAGATGTTCATCATCACATCATCAGGGAAATGGAAATCAAAACTACAATGAGATACCACCTCACACCTGTCAGAACAGACAAAATAAAAAACAAAAGAAACAACAGGTAATGGCAAGGATCTGGAGAAAAAGGAACATTTGTGCACCGCTGATGGGAATGCAACGTGGTGCAGCCACTGTGGAAAATAGTATGGAGGTTCTTCAAATAATTAAAATTAGAGCTACCCTGCAATCCTGCAATCATACTACTGGGTACTTACCCAAAAGATAGAAGAACACTAATTCAAATGGATATATGACCCCTATATTTATAGCAGCACTACTTATAAGAGCCAAGATATGGAAGCAGCCCAAGTGTCTAGTGATCAACGAATGAATAAAGAAGATGTGGTATAATACACACATACACACACACACACACACACACACACACACACACACGAATATTACTGAGCCATCAAAAAGAATCTTGCCATTTGCAGTGACATAGATGGAGCTAGACAGCAAAACAAATCAGAGAAAGACAAATACCATGTGATTTCACTCATGTGCAATTTAAGAAACAAAACAAACAAACAAAGGTAAAAAAATAAGAGAAAGACAAAGCGAGAAACAGACTCTTAACTACAGAGAACAAACTGATGATAACTAGGGGGGAGGAGGAGGATGGGAAGGGTGAAATAGGTGGTGGGGATTAAGGAGTTCATTTATCATGATGAGCACTGGGTATTGTATGGAACTGTTGAATCACTAAATTATAACCTGAAAAAATATAACTCTGTATGTTAACTGGAATAAAAATAAAAACAAAATAAAACAAAGCAAATGAAAAGGTAGCAAGAAACAAAAAAATAAAAATGACTGCAATGAAAAAAAAATTTCTAGCATTTTAATAAAAGTAGAATGTGCTCATTGCTTTAAAAAAAAAAAAAACTCATACAACATGGTATTAGAGAAGCCAAAGCTACTCCTGTACAATATTCACAGTAATCGCACTCCCAGAGATAACCAACTATTTTCAATATGACAGGTATTAAGAACACGTATTGAGGGCAAAAATCTTCCACACAAATTAATATTTTGTTTTCATAAAAATAAGGATTTAAAATCTCATCTATTATTAAACTGCATTATAGAAATTTTATTCTTAATCTATACTGCTAGAATAATTAAGACTTTAACTTAAAGAAATGAAATTATATTTTTTGTTTTATTTTTAATGTGCCTATCAATTTTCCTAGTTTTCCTCAGTGTGTGTGCTAAAGAACATATTTAAGTCATTCAAAATATTTATAAAAGTTTATCTTTTTTAACAAATAAGATATACATGTATATTTGTGCATAATTCCATCAGACACTCATACACATATACTTATCTATACAAAGATCAATTCTGGAAGGCAATTTAAGAAACTGTTAATAGTAGTAGCTACCCTAAGAGTATAAGTAGGGTGTTTGATGACGGAGAAAGAACAGGACTTTTATTTCTGAATTATATGAAGTATATTACTTTTATAATATAATTACTTCCAAATCCTATGTATGGTGATTCAATAAATATTATAATTAGCCTGTTCAATTTATTGACATTTCCAATTTTTTCTGTAAGCAGTGATTGGCTAAAGTGATTATATTTCCCAACTAGCTTACTTTTGATTATGACAATTAAGAAAAAACTCATACTGTACTGTAAAATGTGATATCAAAAAGCATTAATATGCTTTTGGCCTTAAAACAGTGAGATTGTGACACACAAAAAGGCAAATACACAATATCACTCTGATCTACTCAACATCCATGACACTCTGTTTTTAACAAACACCATCAAAATATTTTCAAATGCTGGGAAAATGAAAAGAAAAAATAATTTGAAATCCAAGTAGATTTTATTCAGTGTTTAAAACAATACAATTGTTTTTATTGTGGTAAAATATATTAAAAAATTTGCCATCTTAACCCTTTTTAAGTGTACAGTTCACAGGTATTAAATACACTCACACTGATGTGCAGCCACCACCATGAACCATCCTTATAGCTCATTTTGTATACAGCTCTTAAATAATTCCCCCTTCTCCTCTCACCCCCATCCTGGATGACTACCATTACAAACTCTGTCTTTATGATTCTAACTACTCTAAGTACCTCATACAAATGAAATCATACACTATTTGTCATCTTGTGACTGCCTTACTTCACTTAGCTTCCATGTCCTCAAGGTTCATCCAGTATTAGAGCATACTGCAGAATTTCCTTCCTTTTTAATACTGAACAGTATCTTGTATGTCTATACCACATTTTGCTTATCCATTCTTTGGTCAGGGGACACTTGGGTTGCTTTCACATTTTAGCTACTGTGGATAATGCTGCTATGAACATGGGTATACAAATACCTTTCTGAGGACATTTTCAATATGTTGAGGAATATATCCGGAAGTGGAGCTGCTGGATCGTATGGTCGTTGAATTTAAATTTTTTTGTGAAACTACCACAGCATTTTCACAGTGGCTTACCATTTTACATTCTCACCAACAATGCACAAGAGTTCCAATTTCTTCACATTTTCACCAACATTTGTTAATTTCTGTTCTTAGGACAGTAGCCACCCTAATGAGTATGAGGTAATATCTCATTATAGTTTTGATTTGCATTATCTAATGATCAGTGATGTTGAGAATCTTTCTCTGTGCTTCGTGGCATTGACGTATCTTCTTTGGAGACATGTCTACTCAAGTTCTTCGTCCATTTTGCAATCAGATCTTTTGTTGTTATGGTTAGGTTTTAAAAATCCTCTGTATTCTGGATATTAATTGCTTATCAGATATATGATTAGCAAATGTTTTCTCCCGGTCTGCGGGTTGTCTTTTTACTGTGATGGTGTCTTTTGATGCAAAAACTTTTTTTTTTTTAATTTTCATGAAGTTCAATTTGCCTAATTTTTTCTTTTGTTACCTGTGTCTTTGGTGTCATATCCAAGGCATCATGATCAAATCCAATGCTGTGACGTTTTGATCCTGTATATTTTTTCTAGGAGTCTTACTATTTTAGGCTTTACGCTTAGGTTCCTGATCCATTACCAACTATTTTTTGTATACAGTATTATGTAAGGGTCCAATTTCATTCTTTTTCTGGATATCCAGTTTCCCAGCATTATTTATTGAAAAGACTGTCCTTTGCCCAGTTTCCATCCTTGACAAAAACTAATTTCTGGGCTATTTTATTCCATTGGTCCATGTCTTTCATGTCAATAGCACAGTTTTGATTACTGTACCTGTGTAGCAAGTTTTGAAATCTGAAGTGTGAGCCCTCCAGTTTTATTCTTTTTCAAGACTGTTTTGGCTACTCAGGTCCTTTAAGACTGCATATGAATTTTAGATTTAGTGTTCCCATTTCTACCAAAAAGCAAGCAAAAAAAAAAGCTCTGGGATTTTGACAAGTACTGTAAGGAATCTATAGATTATTTTGGGCACTACTGACATTTTTAAAATATTAAGTTTTCCAGTAAATGAACATAGGATCTTCCTATTTCTTTGTCTTGTTTCAGCAATGAATTTTTAGTTATCACTGTGTGTCTTTCACCTCCTTGGTTAATTCCTAAATCTTTTATTCTTGCTGAGGTTATTGTAAGTGGAGTTGTTTTTATAATTTCCTTTTCAGATTGTTCATTGTTCATGTACAGAAATGAATTTTTGAGTGTTGACACTGTATCCTGATACTTTGCTGAATTAACTAAGTTCAAACCGCCTTTTTTGCAGTCTTTACAGTTTCCTACATATACGATCATATCATCTGCCAACAAAGATAATTTTACTGCTACCTCTCCAATGTGGATAACTCTTACTTCTTTTTCTTGCTCTAACTACAAACTTCCAGTATTATGTTGAACAGAAGTGAAAGTGGACATCCTCGCCTTGTCCCTGAACTTATACAAAAAGCTTCCAGTCTTTTACCACTGAGTAATATGTTTGTTGTGAGTCTTTCATATGTGGCTTTTATTATGTTGATGTAATTTCCTTCCATTCTTATTTTGTTGAGTTTTTTAATCATGAAAGGTGTTAAATGTTCTCAAAAAATTTTTACATCAATTGAAATGATCATGTGGGGTTTTTTCCCTTCCTTTTGTTAGATGTGGCATATTACCTTGATCAAGTTTTATATGCTGAACCATGCTTGCATTCTAGAAATAAAGCTCTCTTGGTTATGGTGCATATCCTTTTAGAATGCTACTGAATTTGTTTGCTAGTATTTTGTTGGGGACTTCTACATCAATGTTTTTAAGGAATACTGGTCTATAGTTTGCTTGGAGTATCTTTGTCTTTGTATCAGGATGATGCTAACTTCAAAGAATGAGTTAGGAAGTATTCCTTCCTCTTCAATCTTTTGGGAAAGTTTGAGAACTGGTATTAGTTCATCTTTACATGGTTGGTAGAATCTACCAGGGATGCTGTCAGACTTTATTCTTAGATTCTGATTACTGACTCAATCATGTTATTAGTCATGGGTCTATTCAAATTTTCTATTTCTTCACGATTTAGTATTGGTAAGGTTTTTGTATTTCTAGGAAATTGTCCATTTCATCTATATTATCCAATGTTTGGCATGTAATTGTTCATAGTATCTTCTTATAATCCTTTTATTTCTTTAGAATCATAAGTAATCTCTGTACTTTCATTTCTGATTTCAGGTAATTTGAATTTTCTTTACTTTTTCCTTTTTCAGCTAGCTCAAGTTTTGGAAATTTTGTT